TCGCACTCCCCCCTCGAATCCTACCCACTCAGCCCGGAGACAACCAGGGTCGACATAGGAACAATCAGCCCCGAAGTCGCCCTGCGCACCGTCGACATGAGCCAGTTCATCGGCCTGCACATGCGGGTGGTGCTGAGGGATCCTGCCGGACACCTGCTGACAGGAACGGTGAGTGATGTTCAGGCGGGCATCAGTCTCACTCTGACAAACGGTAAGCGCGTCTCTCTCTCTCTCTCTCTCCTGTCTCTTGCATTTACTCCCTACGCTGCAGCAAGTCGGATCCCGAGTGAGCACGAGACTAAGCCATTGAACTACAGTATTCCTCACCGCGACGCGCGAGTGGATCCCTCACATTCGAATCGACGCCTCCAACATCGCAGACCTGTCTGAAGTGCGTTGCGACGGACCGGATACGAAGCCACCACCAGCCCCCAAGACGACGTATGTCAGCCAACAGTCACCAAGGCAACCCGCTGTGCAGCAACTGCCCACGAAGCCGATCCAGCCTGCATTTGTCGACCCAGCCATTCTGAGTCTAGGACGACGGCCCAAGTCGCCGGCGTCGGGAAAGCCCAAGAACCCTCCCGCACAGCAAGTGGACGAGACCGACCCAGCGGCGCAGCCGGGAGTCTTGTACGGTATACATGTCGGACGGCAGTCCTCGGTTGACTCGGGCGATGAGCACACCATTGTGGCGTCGGTGAAGGATTTGAAGATAGATCCTGTAGTCATTCCCAAGGATGTGCCAAGTAATAAGCTTCGCCCTGCCAACAAGGAGGTGCCCGCTTCCGCGCAGACACAGCAGCAGCAGCAGCAGCAAAAGAAGAAGGCACGCCGGCATCCCAAGGCTCATAGGGATCATCTCGGTGAGCCGCAAGTAGTCACTCAGACACAGGGCCATGGAAAAGGCTGGCGGCAGACTCCCATCCTGCAGAGCAACGCCTCTTTCCAACCCTTTACCTCCCTCAAGCGAAACACGAAGGGTGTCAAGAATCTTATGGACAATGGATTCGCCTCCGAGGATGTCACCGAGGAGATGGGCGACTTCGACTTCGAGAACAACCTAGCCAAGTTCGATAAGCACAAGATCTTTGATCAGATGAGAAAAGAGGACCAGGTCGACGATGCGAGCCGCCTTGTAGCACACAACCGCCGGCCCAAGCCCGGAACGGCCGGGGGCAAGAACCTTCACTACACGGAAAACGTCCTGGATCTACCTTCGGGCACGGCGACGCCCAGTGCCGACTACTGGAACAGCGAGGCAGACGTTGGCGCCAACGGGTCGGAGAGACTGAGCGGCCGCGAGCCCAAGAACGGCGCCCAGGGTAGTAGTAGGCGGCCCGACAGCAAGACTGGAGCTGGCAAGCGCTCGCAGTCGCGCAAGGCGAGCACCGCTGCCGGGGGGAGCCAGCCACTTAGCAGGGTCAACTCCAGCCTACGGTATCAGGCGTCTCGCCGGTCGAGCCCGACGACGGGGCACCGCAGCACCGACTACGAGCAGCAGCAGCAGCAGCCTGGCCTCTACCTGGTGCCTTCCAACCGCCGCGTGGAGACGATTTCCACGCTCCAGATGCTCAACATCGAAAACATTGCCGCCAACGAGATGGGGTTCAGCGAGGCGCTCATGGCTGAGAATGCTGGCAGGGGCATCGCCGAGGTGGCCGTGACGGCGCTATCTGACCCGGCCATGAAGGTCCGGTTCGAGATGGTCGTGGCCGGGGCGTCGAGCAATGCGTCGCTGCGCACGTCTACGATTGTGATTCTCGCCGGCAACAACAAGTCGGGCACCCGCGCGCTGGCCGCTGGCCGTCACCTGCGGAACAAGAACTTTGACGTGGTTGTGTGCCTGGTGGGCATTGAGCGTGAGCGCGACTTGCTGGAGGATCTGAGGCGCCAGATACAGCTCTACCGGAACTTTGGAGGCAAAGTACTGAGCAAGAACGACTTCTTCGAGTACCTTCGAAAGGGATCGGGGTCGGCTAGCGGCCTGCCCATCTCTCTCATCATTGACGCGCTACTGGGCCTCACCATGTCGTTTGAAGAACTGCGGGTGGGCGACCAGGCGTCCGTGTACGAGCTGATGGAGTGGGCGAACCGGAACGAGGCGTTTGTGCTGGCGGTAGACGTCCCATCAGGCATTGACCCGACAAGCGGCAAGGTTGCCGTCATTGATGGAGGCCACTTGTTCGTCAAGCCACGCTACGTCGTTGCCATTGGAGCACCCAAGAAGGGGCTTCTGGAAGCCGTCACGCCGCCTCCCCACGACGACTCGGGCCTCTCATCAGATATCGGCCACGAAGACGAGTGGCGCCTGTTCATCGCCGACCTGGGCCTCGGCAGCTCAATCTGGAGGAAGTCTGGCACCAAGATTCGGCGGGGCATCGATTTCGACGGCAAGTGGGTGCTGGAGATGAAGTATCGCGGGCTCGAGGAGAGCGAAGAGGAAGACTAGGAGATGACCAAACGATACAAGTTCCCATGCATATGGCTCAATGGCGTTACGAACTTTCACAAGTAAGGAAAAAGAAGAAACAAAAAAAAACCCTTAAATCGAAGGAAAAGGAAAAGGAAAAGGAAAATAATAGGAGAAAGGGGGGGAGGGCAAAGGTTGCAAGAGCGCAGTATCGCGAGGTCACAATGCGTCACATAAAAGAGTGAAAGGGCTCAAGGTGATGCTTTTTATAAAGGGAGGGAAGGGAGATAGCGGACTGTATCTATTACACAGCATCATGAGGCGTCAGAAGGGGTGGATCGATTTCGAGTTTTCGACAGACTGTATCTTGGCTTGAGGAGGTGATACCATGGCAATACGACACGATACCAGCATGATGATACCAAGGCAGTACGATGTCCGATGGCGATGCAGTTGTTGCAATGTTTCCCATGCAGCTGAGGGTCGGTGTCTATAACTGTATTCCGCTTGAGGGGTGATTTGGTGACATGTACCCTCGGTCACCCACTGCCTTGCTCAGACGGGGTACTGCGGTGTATCTACTTTGTAGTAATACTAGTGTCGAGGGAGTTGGTATTGATTGGATGCTGAAAGGGTTCTGCAAACAGCCGAATCACGAATCACGAAGAGTAAGAAGAAGAAGTAGCGTCCCGATTCTGCCAAGAACTGCGGGATAGTAGCGGAGAAACCAAGCTTTTGCCAAGATGAACGGCGCGGAATTGGCAGGCCTTTTCCTTTTTTTTCTTTTTCTTTTCTTCTTCTCTCTGCCTTCTTTTTGGTTCGATTAGGGGTCTAATAGGGGAGGGTGAAGACGGGTATGCATGCGAGAGAGGTCCAATCGGGTTTGCTTTTTGAGGGGGGGTTTCGTCATGTACGTTGGTGGTTTTGAAAGTGCTTTTCCTATCTGATTTGAAGAAGAGGTAGTGTACTTTTGTTTCTAACCTTGTTTTGTTTAGGTATGGGGTGCTTTGGGTGTGCTTCGATTTGGAAATTGTAACGGTGTATTTGCGCAGGATTAGAATTACAGAGGGAATTGGCGATGGAACATCTATGTGGTACAGAGGGTGAGTTGGGCTTGGTATCCAGCTGTATACCTGTACCTAAGATACTTGATTGTCTCCGCATTGTTTCGCACGAATGGAAAGGGAAGAGGAGGTCGCTTTCCCTCGGGATTTCATCCGACTGCCTATCCTTTTTCGAGTCCCGATGTTGGGGGTGGCTTTGTGTTTCCGTATGGCTGGCTGGCTGGCCGAAGACACGTGGGATGGGCGCCTCTTTCGTGGAAGAAGAGGAGACTTGGGGGGAAAAGGTTTTGTTGTTATACCTCGGAACAGAGTGTGTCGCTCGTGTAAGAAGCACATATATGACGAACAGGGACATAAAGCAATGGACATACATATCTGGCCATTACTATCCATGAGCTTGAAATTATACAAAGTGATGGTTGATATAAGCAAACATTCGTCTTGCATGGCGGCCGTCCATCTCGCACACGACAAAGACAGCACGGTGCGCAATCACTGTGTGCCGCAACTAGCGCTGCGCCGTGGTTGCTCATTGGCTGAAATGCCTCTGCAGTGCCCCATCTCTGCTCTAAGAAGCTCGCTGAACCGCCACCAACACAGTGCGGACAGAAGGAGACGAAGAAACACAGGCTCCTCGAAAGGGACCAGTCGAGTCAATGGATATCAGGTAAGTACCTACCTACCTTATGGCGTGAGTTGCATGTACAGTACCAACTGAAGGAAACGAGCTGGAGCAACACCAACGCCTTCCTTCGTTCTCCTCCCCCCCCATCCAGCAGCATCTTGTTGTCGCCTCCGCTTCTCGACTCCTCGCGACTCGATCGCCTCTTCTCACGACCTACGGCCTTGGACGAATTCGCGAGCATCAGGCGCTGTTCTGCTTCTGTCTGCCCTTTTTATTTGCGGGAGGTGTCCATCCTCGGCTTTTGAGCGCACGCGGAAGCCCGGTGAAACAAGGCCGCTTTCTCGCGATCATTGTGTTTCGGAGTCCACCCGCGCTCTCTCTCTCTCTCTCTCTCTCTCTCACCTCCCCCTCGACAGCCGGCAATTGTCATGAGAATTGCTCTTTGCGCTTGCGCCGTCTGACATCCAGCCTCGATTGAAAAAAAAAAAACGACGCCCATCGGCTCGATTCTACACCGAGAAAGCGCCTTCGCGAACCGAACAATCCGCAGTCGTCCCGTTGACCCTTCTGGCGCCATCGCGGGTCCTCCGACATACCTGGACATATTCGTCGTCAGCGTGCCTCTGATTCTCCAGAGAGGGCTGCTGGAGTCGCTCTCCCCGCCTTGTCCTCATTCGAGCCGGCGAGGTTGGAAGAAAGGAGGCGTCGTTCCGGCTCGGCTGCAGCATTTCGTTGCATACGCAGAATCGTCTTCCATGGCGCACCGGCGATAGGGACCGACTGGCACCCTCTCCTTTGTCGTCGCCGTATCACCGGCTGACTTGTTTCTTCCCTTTTTCTTCAATTCTTCTATAAATCCAGGCGTCTCTCCCCCGATCTGGCCATGTCGATCACGTCCATGCCCAATCTGGCCCTGGCCGCCACGACGTCCCTGGAGGCGTCCATGGCGCTGTGCACCAGCACGTGGCTGCCCGCCAACGGCATCCTTTCGCTCGACGGCCAGTCGGACGATGCCGTCCTGACGCTCGACAGCGACGCCTTCTTCCAGGCGCCCTGCCCGACGGCCACGATCCCGACCGTCTCCGTCGCCGTCAGCGAGCCCGAGAGCACCGGCACCGCCACCGGAGGAGGCTCGAGCCTGAACCTGCAGGACCTGGGCGACGACGGCGACCCGGACGACAGCCCGCACTTTTCCGACTTCCGCGACCCCTTTTACGCCTCGAGCTTCCCGATATGCTACGCCCTCGCCGCCACCACCGTCACCGCCTACATGCTCGTCATCATGCTCTTCATCACCCCCAGGTCCTTCTTCGACAGCGGCGTCGTCTACCTCGGCCGCCCCGGCGGCTTCACCAACAGCTCCTCGGGCGGCGTCAACATCGGCGGGCGCCCGTGGCTGCAGAAGTTGGCCGCCCTGACGGTCGCGATATCCCTGACGATTGCCACGGCGGACACGTTTCGCATCGCAAAGATACAGTACATATGGGGCGTGCAAAACGCAAAGGTGCTGCAGAACCAGGTCATGGGGAGCACCGAGCTCAGGGCGATCCGCATCGTGTCCGACACGTTCCTGTGGCTGGCGCAGGCGCAGACGCTCATCCGGCTGTTCCCGCGCCACCGCGAAAAGGTCATCATCATGTGGGCTGCCTTTTTCCTCATCAGCCTCGACGTCATCTTCAGCGCCCTCAACAGCTTCCTGTACTCGGATCCGGACAGCAATGGCAACTCCATGCCCAAGAGCTTTGCGCATCCCATCCCGGCGCTGAGCTACCTGTTCCAGCTGGCGCTCGGAGTGCTGTACGCAGCCTGGGTCGTGTACTATGCCATCATGAAGAAGCGATACGCATTTTATCACCCCCTGATGAAGAACATGTGCTTGGTGGCTGGTATTTCTCTAGGCGCCATCCTGATTCCAGTTGTCTTTTTCATACTCGATATCTCGAAGCCAGAGTTTACTGGCTGGGGAGATTACGTGCGATGGGTTGGTGCGGCGGCTGCCAGCGTGGTGGTGTGGGAGTGGGTAGAACGAATCGAAGCGCTGGAGCGCGAGGAGAAGAAAGATGGGATCCTCGGTAGGGAGGTGTTTGATGGAGATGACACACTCGAGGTGAATGCGGCGGAGCTTCCCTGGTCACGAAAGCGAAAGGGTTACAAGCCCAAACCAGGCGGAGATGGTGATGGCAGGGGGGTTATGATCACGGAGAGGGAGCAGAGGCCAAGAGAAGGCGGTTGGCCTGGTGTTTCGGTCATTGGTGGCGGCCGGCACCGTGAGCGAGACGGCCATGGTGGACACGGACGTGGCGATGGAAGTGGTGGGACAGCGGGAGAAAGGACAACAGGACACATCATGAGAGCGGCGCCATGGATTGCACGACCTCCCCCCGCCGTGACGCCCGTCAGTAGAACTGACTCCACGAGTGCCGCCAGCAGTACGATATACGCCGTGAGGCACCAGGGAGGCTCCGACGGCGTACCAAGAGCAGCCGATTCAGTAGTTTCCGCTCCGATACGGACCACTGCAGACGGTTCGAGACCCGAGAGTAACCAAGGCCGCCGCCTTTTTGCAGAAGACGCCGCATCGACAAACCAGCCGCCTTCCTCCGTCTCTCCAGGGGATCCCCCCACTGGCCATATCGCGATTCGGGAGCCAACGAGGTCAGCGGATTTGGAGGCGAACTCTAGCTCGGGTGGTAATGGTGGTGGCGGCGGGCGCTGGCATGCGCTGCTGCGTCGTGGAGGCGGCGGATCGACATCGCCGCTGCAGTTGCCCAGGACCTTGTCGGATACCCGGTCGACGATTACGACAAGAGCCCGGATCGATACGAACCGGTGGGATATCCGAGGCAGGCTGGAAGAGTTCGCCGTGAGCCAAGCGGAGAGGATTCGAGAAAGGCTCCGGCCGACGACGGATACGGAGAACCTCCCCGTCATGGTGATTCCAGCGCCGGCACGACGAGGCGCCGCGCTGCAGCAGGTTTTGGAGGAGGAGGGAGAAGAGCTGAGCAGTGCGGCGGCATCGGCCCTGCGACGTGCGCGAGGATCCAGCAGCAGCAGCTCTTCCGAAGAGGTGTACGAAGTCAGGGGGCGGAATACCATGGTGCCCGCCGTGTACTCGAGAGCAACGACGGGCACACGCGAGAGGCCGATACCGCCTACCAATCCGCCTCTGTGGCCCGGGGTTCGGAATCGACACCTCTATGACGACGACGATTACTCGTATGACGACTCGGTAACGGAGACTTCGTCTGTGTTATCGCGGGAGCACGAACAGGAGCATGAGCACGACCACGGCAACGATCAACACGAACCAGATCCGGAACCTGAGCCGGAGATACACACTGGCCAAGACGACAGGCGCACAATAATACCTCCTGGAGACCCTGGCGCTTCCTCTTCATGAGCCTCTTTGGGCTAGGTTCTGGGTAAACACCCTTTTATTTCTCTTCACCTGTGGTTGCGGCTGGCGGATATGAAGCGCGGTGCTTCGTGGTATGTCTTTGAGCGAGGCGTTTTAGGTTCCAAAAAAAGATCTTGCACAAAAAAAGATCTTGCGGGGTGGGGGGTTTCTGTTTACATATTCATATTGTGTCTGGGAAGAGTGTATATGAGGGGTTTGAATATATCGTGGAGATGTGGCTGGCGATACCCGGTGTTACTTTTTGTCATGGAGATGATGTTTCGCCGACATGAATTGTATATTACAGCAATATGATGAAACGTACAAATGTGCCAAACACGGACTGTCGTCGAAGCTAAAAAAAACATGTCTACGAGTACTTTGTCCCGCAGGCTGAATGAACTGCAATGCTATCCTGATACGATACTCGCCAAGTACTTCTTCTTCTCATTGGTTCCTGGCACTCTTCGAATGAAGTCGAGGTTGATAGGTATTGAAATGTGATAGCTCAAACTGTCAAATTACGTCACTCTTGGTCCAACAAGACGGGCTTTTCCATCTCCAAAGTCAATTCCCGCAACCTGTTATTAGAGCAACAATGGCAGACCGAATCATCAGGGATGGATGGCATCAGGTCAGCGGACGCAGGTGAGGGTTCGTTGACTAGATAATACCTGTACTGTAGATGCTCGCTCGTACATACAAAGAAGAGTTAAGTAATAGGTAAGTCATGAGGAGGAAACAGGAGCAATTCGCAACAATACTCGTATAGCCACTAGCGCAGGGATAAGAAGAAGAAGAGGAGACCTGAAAAGAAAGATGGACAGCCATGGCAGGGGACATCCCTGCATCCCGTCGCGCCAGACAGGGGGTTCCATTTGCAGGGGAGGGGGCCGTAATACAACTTGCTGTACATACGTGTAAAGGAGGGCCCAATCAGGATGGTGAATGCTGACTTGGGCGATTGAGGATTAAGAAGTATGAATGGATGAGGAAGACTGAGGCCTCTTCTGTGTCGTATCTTCATGTTCTTCGGAGGAGTTTTCAGTCATGACGCTTGAGTGATGGTTTGTTGAGGTGGTGATGGGCGTGGATTCGGGAGATCTACTGTAATAGATGCGAGTCCAGATAGAATCTTGTTACTCGATACATACATACATACTATATCAACTGAAGATTGTTGGGTCTTGCTGCTCAAAGACATGAAGTACCTAGGTAGAATTAGGGGTCCCAACGTAAGGCTCCGAGGTGCTGTTCGGGGTGTTAGGGCAGTACCCCTCTCTCTTAGAGACCACGGCGGCACCTCAAGGTATCCAAGTACCATTTAGTGACGTCCAGTCTCGGCCCAAGAATTTTCTTGCCTTTTTCCATTCTTTCTCCCCATCTTTTACATCTGCCAACTCCAACCCATCTACTACGAGTATCATCATCCAGCAATTGACGATAAGCGACGGCGACGTCAACGTCAACTCACTCGTCAATTGACACGGGATTCCGAATCCGAATTCCTTGCCTGTCCCGTCCCTGGCTCGGCACCTGTCAACGCCGGACTTTGAAAGAAGAAAAGATCCCGGCTGGACTCTTCCTCTTCTCTTCTTTTCTCGTCTCGAAACCTTTTCAGATCTGCAAGTGACGACTATCCAGCCTACAGACCGCCACTTTTCAGCCTTACTCTCTCTCTCTCTCTCTCTCTCTCTCTCTCTCTCTCTCTCTCTCTCTCTCTCTCTCTCTCCTCCTGACTCGACCGAGGCTCGATTCAAGCACCCACAAGTGAGACACCGCGCAAGAGCCAAAAAGCGGATAAAGCCCACGCGAGTCTTGTCACTGCCAGGACCGCCAATCAATTGCGCCGGCGCCCCGCGAAAAGAACCAGGGGTCGAGACGGAAAAGGCGAACCAAACCCAGGCCAAATCGGCCAGCGATTCGACTTTGCATTTTTCTTGCTGATCTTGCTGTGCTCGACCTTCATTCTCTCTCCCCCCCCTTTTTTACCCCTTCTCCTGCGTCCTGCCAGCGTCTTCGACTCCGACCAATTCGTCCAACCTCTTCTCTCTCTCTCTCTTTTTCTTTGCTTGCGACAAGGGAGACCTCAGCGCCGCAGTCTCTACGAATCGACGACGAATTCCCAATCGAAGCCTCAGCGCAAGCCGACCGAAAGGGGGCCTGAGAATCAGAGAGAGAGATCCCAAAGGGGCTTGAAACCCTCTCAGCGAACCAAACCCCCCCTCTCCCCCCCCCCTTCGACCGCCGCCCGAGACACACAAGACAAGACACGCCGGCCTCATTGTCAAACGCTCCCTCCCGGACACACAATGGCGGGCGTCGAGCCGTTCCCGCTGCTCAACACGTCTGCCGACCAGCTGCACAGTGCTGACGTCAACGTTGCGAGGCGCAGGCGTAAGAGCAGCGGCCTTGGGGGCGAGATTCGCGCTGGCGACACGGGCGCGCCGGCGCTGGCCTCTAGCAGAGTCAGTCTCAACGCCCACGACTCCGAGGTGAGATTGCGCCGTTTGTTCTGTACCCTCCTCCCCCCCCGTGCTGATGCTGATGGCCCTGCTGATGGGCTGCGCGGCCTGTCGCACGGGGCTGTCGTCTGGCCCTGTGATCGCAGGCCTCCTCCTCCTCCTCCTCCTCCCCCTTTGGCGCTTGCCCTCACGTCCAGGATGTGAAGAGAATTATGATCTGCTTGTCTAACACGAACCGAACAAAAAAAAACAGCACGACTCGTCCGAAGGCTCAGAGGATCCCTCGGGCGCTCCCAAGACGTCCAAGCGCCGCCGCGCCCGTGGCTTCTTCTCCCAGCTGCGCCAGACAATGGTCAAGCACACCTTCGTCCTGCCCGCCGTCCTGCTGCTCGTCTTCCTGCTCGGCTACGCCGTCAACCCGTCGGAAGCGAACCCCATACACCACTTCCTCTTCCTGTCGTACCCGCTGCCCCAGGACGACCCTCTCCAGCCCGTCCAGTATGGCAAGGGCAAGTGGGATATCGCCTTTGTCGCCTTCTACACCATCGTCCTGTCGTTCACCCGCGAGTTCATCATGCAGGAGGTGTTGCGCCCCATGGCCCGCCGGACGGGGCTCAGCAAGGGAAAGCAGGCTCGCCTGATGGAGCAAATGTATACCGCGCTCTACTTTGGCATCCTGGGGCCTGCCGGCATGTACGTCATGAGCCGCACCCCCGTCTGGTACTTCAACACCCGCGGCATGTACGAGGGCTTCCCGCACCGCTCGCACGAGGGCGTCGTCAAGTTCTACTACCTCTTCCAGGCGGCCTACTGGGCCCAGCAGGCCATTGTCCTGCTCCTGGGCATGGAGAAGCCGCGCAAGGACTTCAAGGAGCTCGTCGGCCACCACATTGTCAGCCTGGCGCTCATCGGCCTGAGCTACCGCTTCCACTTCACCTACATTGGCATCGCCGTCTACATCACCCACGACATCAGCGACTTCTTCCTCGCCTCGTCCAAGGCCCTCAACTACATTGACCACCCCATCGTCGCCCCTTACTTTGCCACCTTCGTCGCCGTCTGGATCTACATGCGCCACTACATCAACCTCCGCATCATCTGGTCCCTCTTCACCGAGTTCCGCACCGTCGGCCCCTTTGAGCTCAACTGGGAGACGCAGCAGTACAAGTGCTGGATCAGCCAGTACATTACCAGTGCCCTGCTCGCCTCGCTTCAGGCCCTCAACCTCTTTTGGCTCTTTTACATCCTGCGCATCGCCTTCCGCTTCATCCGCGACAAGGAGGCCACCGACGACCGCTCCGAGGACGAGGACGACGAAGAGACGGAGAAGCCCGCCAAGCACAATGGCAAAAAGGCCGCCGGACCCCCTGCGCTTGAAGTCCACTACGAGGACGACGACGAGGACAAGCAAAACGGCTCTGCCAAGCACTGAGGCAGTCCGTGACATGATGGGCGGAGAGAGAGACACAGGAGACAGAGAAGAGCGATGACGATCATGATGAAAAAGAAAGCACGGCAACACACATATTGGGCAAGTTTGGAAAGGAAAAAAAAAAAAGAACAGAAAAGAAGCAAGGAATAAAGGGGGGCCAAGTAGACACACAAATCTACGACGACGCAGAAAATACTACTACCTACTACACAAAAACAAAGCAAAAAACAGGCATCTGCAAACGCATGAACAAAAAAAGAAAAATCTCACACCAAGATGTAAGCAGCAGATGAAACTGTCCTTCTCTTTCGATATATACATACATATCTTGGAAAAGAATTCAAAAAACGAAAACGCATATATATGCTTGTCGTGGAGTTTGCAAAACAAACGCGGAAAGGGGAAGCTAGGGTTGTATAGGAGAAATAGCCAAGCATGAGCAAGGAAGGACAACCATACTTGCCAGGCGTTTGTTCCTTTACCGTTTCTTCTCTTTTGTCCTTGTCTTGCGAGGACGAGGATGAGCAATAAGCGAGAGAGAAGGGCCAGACAAAGCAAAGGAAGAGGGAGGAGAGGACACAATGGGCATTGTATTCTTAATATTACCTAGTTATAATCATATGACGACCTTGTCTATTCACTCGAAACTTTTTGACGATGTATCAATCAAACTCTTCATGTCACACGCTTGAGACTCGACGTAATAAGAAATTAAACTCGTGACGATATTGCAGCGAGTTATTGCAGAGACACACAATCACATTGCAAAGGACACCCATGTTTTACCAAAATTGTTTTCTGTTTTTTTTGTGTTGTCCGCGCTACCAAAATAATAACAAGCTACCAAAACCATGTCGAGGCTGCCCTGTCCTTCTGTAGCAAGTGTCCCTTTGTTCCCATCCCATATCGGGATAATCCCCTTTTTTGTTTCGTGTTTTTGATTTTCCATCCAGAGACTGACTGACCGTTCGTCGTCTCGGCTTCCCTGAGGAAGAGTCCCAAAAAAATGTATGTTCCGACGCAAATTAAAGTGAAAAAAACAGATGAACAGGATAAAGGGAAACAGCTCAGACTCAAATGATGAACACGCCACCAAGCCCGGATGT